GAATATAGTTGAAACAAACAGACAGGCACAGAAATTAATAAAAACAATCCAGACAAGCGACTCTATGTTGGATGGAACAATGAGTGATGAATGAGTAGATTGGGGTTATGTCAAAGGATTCAGGATGACCAAATAGAGTCAGAGTGAGGATTTAATAAGTGGATGGACGGGGGGTTCGGGGTTGAAGGAACCGACATGTGAGCTGTCTTAATAACAGGCGCTGATAGCAATGTGAAAAAATACGTTCACATAATAAGAGTAATAGCCAGCCGACTCACTTGCTAATGGCTACCAACAACGCCTTGACCATATCCGCTGGTCTCCTTGCCTCATTAGGCCGCCGAGCGGCTAAACCAAAGGAGCTAGCAATCACATCAGCCGCTAGTCCCAGTGACTCGTAGGCTCCCCCGTAGATGTCTTTCACAAGCATATCCACCTCTCGGTGGTTACCCTTGTCAGCCAGCTCCAGTAGTTCATCAAAAGACATCTGGCCTACCAGAAAAAGCAGCAAAGGCCCATAAAATTTCAATGAATTTTAGAATTAACTTCAGCCTAAATTGGAGCACGAATGATGCCCAGTACTCCACATTACCTAGATTTCAACAAAAAGCCCTTAGCATAAGGATTTTAGAAAATGTAGTTTAAAAACTCTTTCTCCCATTTATAGCTGCCCCTCAAAAGTCTAAAACTGCAAGGATGAAAAAGAAACGCGTATTTGGGGATCCCATAATTCACGCATTAAGTTCTGTCTTAATTTCACTAGGGTACAGTTCATGTCAGACTTAGAACTCGTCAAGATTCTTACCTTAGTGCTCTCTAAGGATAATCTGGAATTCAAACAAAAATGTCACACCAAGGTACTCTCAATCCACCAAAACAGTACGTAGACTCGAGCATCTGCGTTATGAGCAATGATATACCTTCCAAGTTGACATTAATCGCTAAGATTTCAGATTGGAGGCCTTGTAGAGCGCATGAGCGTTTGCGATAGGGGTTAAGGAGGGTGGGTGCATACATTCATTACTTTTGATGTCAACAAAATGGCCTGATTATTGATGAGGTAAACAATGCGCATTACATAACACTGCGTAAGGCTTTATCTCAACACAATGGCTCCAAAATTCAACAAGGGATGCAAGAAGTTCAAACTATGTTTACCAAAAGTTATGACGCTACGTTAAACGAGCGCGACTAAGCAAGTCCTGAGTCTGTAATATGCGACCGCAATAAACTCCTATGGACTTCGGTTTCTAAAAAGGATCATGAAGCCTGATTCGGACTATAGCAACCAAATGGGCATACCTACCAATTATTTCACAAAATAACT